CTTATATATGTATTGATCATTAATATATATAAAAACTAAGAAAGAAATTTTATCTTAACTAAATACATTTTCTTTAATTTATAATTGAAAAATACAAAAGAATTCCCTAGAAGAAGAAGGGAAAGAGACGCTGCGGTAACCTGGTTTCGGGTTAACCTACTAGCTTGTTCCCGAAGGCGTGAGGCAAGCGACGGGAATTTTCAGTTATTAATCTACACCTCCCTCTTGCTGCGTTCTCTCTAGCCGCCAGTTGAATGTGGCCGAGGGTGCAAGTAGAGGTCTATGGGGCTACCATTGACTGGGACTTGGAGCCCCCTGAACTCATAGAGGGGGATCTGGTCGAGCTCACGATCCCCGGGCGCAACATTTGACACGCTGACGGCCAGTTTGCGKGGAGGTCCATAATCCTGTCCGAGGACGTGTGGCTTTGGACGTACAGAGAGCACCGGYCGGGGCAAGGAGTGGGCGTAGTGAGAGCCTACTTGTATTTGGGACCGGGTGCGGTCAGGGAGGCCGTGGTGGGCCTCGCGACGACAGGGACTAGTGACGCAGTTAGCAGGGCGTTACGCTACCTAGGGGAAGAGGTAGCCTTCCGAGCGGAGGACTCGAGCGACCCGTTGACGGTATTTCACGGACGCCCTCCTCTTGATATCATGGGCGAGCTGGTGGTAGCACGGGACGGGTTTTTCCCGTACAGCGTTAGGAGCCTGCGGGCGATAGTTCCGACGTTCGTAGTAGAGAGTGTCTTTGGAGGTATTGGTGGAGTGGTCGAGACATACCTGGCTTATCAGGATCTCAAGATCCTGGCGAGAAGRCCTGCCGACCTGGACTATATCTATTATTCGCTCGCGACCGGTGGGCCTCGTTGGGGAGACGAGAGGCTTCAGCTTATAGAGCTGATCCGCTCGATAGATGACGAGTGGCCCCAGCCTTCGTGCGTTTGGGATTGGCTAGACCGTGAGCTCCGAGCAGGCCCCGAGTACGTGACCTGYATCGGGCGGCTCTTCTCAGACGACTGGGAGAGCTGGTGGAGTGAGGACGCCGGGCGACCTCTAATATACGGCCATCAGTTGGCACAATACTACCAGGGTATAGGACAGGCGCCATACCGCATCGAGGACGAGTTTGACGACGAGGGTTGGGAGCGATAGGACGACGAGGGCGCCTGGGAGCCAGACTGGGTTGACCCAGAGAGTGAGGTTGACGAGGAGGAGATTGACGTTACAGATGCCCATTTTCCCAGGATAGGAGTAGCGGTCCGGGCGTAGGAGGTAGAGGAGCACATCAGGGCGACGGTTGAGTGCGCCTGACTACTGAACCTACTCGACCATACTGGACCTGAGTGCGAGAGTTGTCTGAAGGGTTGGCAACGTCGAGAGATGGGGTGGGAGTAGAGTGATGCTGACCGAGAGTAGGAGAAGAAATGAGGAGAGATTCAGCGGCCTGGTTAGCTTATGTTTTCTCACGAGAGTCCGAATCGTATAGTGTGAGGAAGCTTGTGGGACTTAGAGAGACGGCGGTTGGATACGACATACCACTTCCTGTGGCGTTAGAAGAGGCAGGGCGTGTACCGATACGATAATTGGGAACGTGGCTTGCAGAGGGGCTCTTCCTATGGACAGTGATACTACGAGACGATCGACCCGAGAGGACTCATGATCTAGAAGGGGTCGGACATCTGATACCGGATAGAACACACAATTTAGAGATAGCGCTAACGCTCGCAGGGGCGAGCAGGAGTTGGTGGAGAAGCGAGTTGTTGGCCAGAGTGATCGTTAATCAGCAATTGGCGAGACTCTCTGGAGGGAGGACGAGTTGGAGCTGCTTGGTATACGGTCCACCACATCCGACCCTCTACCCGAGAAAGGATTGGCGATTCGGACTTCCTACCTTCGCGATAGGGCAGACCTATGGGAGCGTGGATCGTTTGAGTAGAGCAGTGGACCACACACTTTACGCGCTCTGGGAGGGCTTAGCACCCCGCTTCAAGGAATTATACTACGCCATTTGTGTGAGGTGGGGGCCGCCCAGTAGAGAGACGCTTGACGACATCATAGACGTTACTAGCTAGGTGGACTGTCTGAGGCCAATCGATCTGATTAGGTACTGCAAGAGACAGGCAGAGATCGATTACGCGGGGCTAGAGGATGTGAGATTTCTCTTCGAGGCCGCAGCTTAGGGAATGCTGGGAAGGACGGTCACAGTGATGCGTGTAGAAGAGCAACTGGTGAGCACAGGATACACTGTGACAGTACTTCTCCGAGCGTACGTAGACGAGGACTTGACAGCGAGTGAGTGCAGACAACGAGCTAGGGATTTGATCCACGAGCGTAGAGCAGGTGTACTGGCGCGAGTGACCTTCCAGACCTCGATTTCCTATGATGTGATGATATGGTCTCATGGTTATATGCGCGCGGAGCACTACCACGATGAGACGGTAGCGGAGGCTAGAGCGAGGGTGAGAGGATGAGCTGGAAAAAGATGTGGACTGAGTATGGAAGAGGAGAGTGAGGCAGTCGGAAGAGTCAGAAAGCGCGTTAAAGAACCACTTTTGAACCAGGTAAAGAAGTTGGGGGACAAGTTAAGGGAGATCTGGTCGTGTCAAGACGAGGGCAAGTTGCGTAGGGCTGAACTCGTGACGAGAGAGTTAGAGAGTCTGTTTAGGGAGGAAAGAGAGATTTTCCAGGCGTGGAGATCAGATTTTTTGGAGAGGGTAAAGGCTAGAAGCGTATCACGCGAAGAAACTAGTGAGCGATCTGCAGAGAGCGAGACAACGGAAGACAAAGTAACGCAGGGAAGTAGCGACAGGACATGAGCGGGACAGCAGTACACACGACGGATCGGTACTCATTGCATGTGGTAGGGAGATTAGACGGACCATTAGTGTTAGTGATCATAGAACTCCAGCTCCATACCAGACTGTGCATAGTTGAGGAGGCAGAGTGTGTCCGCCGCGCGCTGCGTGAGGTTAGGGGAACATGACTTTGGATTGGAATAGAAGGACGACGGAGGATAAAATACATACTCCAAGTGACACCTTTCGAAGGGCGGTCTCGGATAAGGGCATGGTACGAGACGACCAGAGAGGCTGAGAGGTTGAAGATAAGCGAAGACAGGAAAGCAGGAGAGTTAGGGAGAGTTGTAACAGACGGTGCCATACTCAGGGTGCTAGCTGCTTACAACCGGTACTGGAAGGAAACGATAAAGACTTTAGAGGCGATAGACGATGGAGGAGATAATGAGGACTTTGAGACATTTTATGACATATTGGAGCGGTCGGCGATGAGGTTACAAGT